ATACACGGGCCCTAAGAAGGCTTTTTTTTCTTGAGGAATTTCTAGCAGTCATAAACATTTCGTTTTCATTGAATTTTCAGTGAACTCATAAAGACCCAATTGAACAGAAAAGATTGCTCAGTGACATTTCGATTCATTTCACTTAATGTAAAACTGGTCTTCAGAAACGGTTCTCCTGTCCCAAATATGTCACTAATACAAGGGTATTTCCGCATTCAAGCGCGCATAACTCGCTGTAGAATCATGGGAAATTTAGCTAAATTTGCTATTAGAATTTTCACGGACTACAGGCTTTCAATGAGTTCAATTTTTAACAGAAGAATGCTACACCCGACGAACCACTTCACAATCTTTTAAATCGAGGTAAATATCATAAGGCTACTTGGTATTCACTAATACGTATATGCAATGGAGGTGTTAACAAAATCAGAAAAGGAAAAGATTTTTTTAAAAAGCCATGAGCGTCATTAGCCATTGTTTTGCAAGCGGTTTGCTGTCTCTACAGGACAGACGGACTCCATAAATCTTTTAGCACAACCAAACACCTATAAAGCCATAAATCGGCTCCGAGACTACACAGGATAAAAGAAACACACAACTTAAGATTAGCCGATTTTATATAAATACCTCTATTTTCGCTGGTTAGTAACTTCCTCATACTTTGCTTTGCGCACAATGGCGAAGTCTGCTCGCGGATCTTCCCACCTCCTCAATTGTGGGTTGTTGTTGATCGCGATGTTGGACCATGTTGCTGACGGGTAGAGTAGGTGCAACTATTAGTCTATCCCAGAAAAATGATGATGATAAACGTTGGTTAAAAAGTTTTTTTTTGTTCAGGCGCCATTTTCCTCCCTTAAATAATATGGACTGGAAGTGTGGGTGAATTCCGCACCCTTGGCCTTGAAGGCGATCAACCGAAAAAAAATTTGAAAAACTACAGAGTAGGACTTCACTTGAAGATAAAATTTCACTGATGAGATTTTCACGCGCTGTTAGCATCTCATTAAGGTGGTAAATTTCTTGTAACTTCACTGGAAAAGTTATCAATGTTTGAAAACGGAACAAGAGAACTTATGGAGGATGCCGACTATGATTTTGTTAATTATATTGCCCGCAGTGAATCTTGATGCCTTGAGGCCTCATTTATAGTCAAATCTCGGCTAACAACAAAAAAACCTCTCATAAACGGAAACTTGGTCATGTCACCAGCGAAATACAAACACTGCATTTATAACATCCCTTAGGCGGACACCTGTCCTTAGCGGCTACTTTTTCTGATCGTTAAGGGTGTCCTCCCTACAGAAGGTTCGATTGTTTTCTTACTTTTTTTTTTCGTTTACTCAAAGAAGAAACACAAATCCCCTTGTTTGAACCCTGTTTAAATCTGGGTATATTTTACCCCCTTATAATTAGTAGCAAGCCACTTTTTTAATTTGTAACCTGCGTCTTCCCTTAACCACGTCATTTTTTTTTTTTTTTTTTTTTGCGAGCTCATTATACCTCAAGCTCTTGATTCAAAAGCACCTTTGGTAGCATGAGTTTCAGGTATGATTAATGTTAACAAAAATCTTTTCATGACATTAGTACAATTACCCAATTGTTTCCTTGAAAATCCATGATGGGGATTCAGAGACTAAAGGCACCGTAAAACGCACCCCTCTACCTTCGCTGCCTGACGCAGGTACAGCACATACACAGCCAAGCTAGCTTTGTTACTTAACCTTTTTAGGATCATTTACTTTTGTCCTTTAGTATGTTCATGTTTTGCGTTTGCACCCTATGCTTGCATAGATGTATGTGTTACTCGTTTTGCACCAAGGTTTAAATACATTCGCAATAGAGTACTAAAGTGATGACGTCATAAAAATGAAATTTCTGAAATTATGGGATTTGTCAGAATATTCTGAAAGAACAATGTCCAAGAGGCCTACTTGCCAAAAATGAGCATTTGGGGGCAAATTGTCTGTGAGATCGTAGCCCAGTTATACTCAGAAAACTCCATACAAACCCTGCCTTCTAATTTTTTTTTTGGGTCGACCCAAAAAAAATTTAGAAGGGTTTGTATGGAGTTTTGTAAGCATAACTGGGCTACGATCTCACAGACAATTTGCCCCCAAATGCTCATTTTTGGCAAGTAGGCCTCTTGGACATTGTTCTTTCAGAATATCCTGACAAATCCCATAATTTCAGAAATTTCATTTTTATGACGTCACACTCTAGTACTCTATGAGCGTCATTACAATTAGAAATCTTATATGGAAGTCTGTGCTAATCGCCACAATGATTAGGCCATATATCTTCCAGCAGAAAGTTCAAGGGATGTTTCTCACCATACTGGAGATACCTCAGGAAGCCCAATTTTCAAGGCAGAAGGACTGCAGTACCAAAATAGTCCATTTCTTAACTACGTAATCGTGACGCCTTCAGGGCACATTCATGCCTTAAATGAATAGTCAGCCACAATCTTATGGCTCATTGATATGCGTACATGTCCGACGATATCGTACGGCCTGTACGTGTAGTTCTAAGGCCCTGTCCACAGCACGCATCCTTTGTGATTTGAAAAGGCAATTTTTTTATTGATACGGCTTCCGTCCACACGAATCCGATGAAAACGATCAATGAAAACGGAGCTTTTCGAAAACGCTCCCCAAAGTGCAGCTTTTTGAAAACGCTGTTTTTTGCGTGTGTGAACAGACGAAAAGGGAACGTTTCGAAAACGCTGCGGTCACACTATCAGTTCCAATCCACTTCGCGCAATTTTAGAAACTTATTCAAGATGGCGGACGAGCGCTTCCATTAAGTTGTCTTTTATACTTGGGCTTATTTTTATTTAACTGTTTCTACGACTTGAAGAACGTCACAACGATATAAACCCAGACCAAAGAAATTCGAAGACGGCGCCATGTTATTATTACGCGGGCTCATAATAGCCAACACGTATGCGTCAAGCATGCGCAGTCGGGTAAGTTATCATTTCGTATACGTGTGGACGGGCAAAAACGATGCGAAAACGCTACGGGTGGACGCGAATTTTTTTGAAAACGCAGAAAAAATGTTGCGTTTTCAAACGAATACGGATACGTGTGGACAGGGCTAAATAAGGGTTGATTTCCAGTGTCAAGTAATTTTTAATATAATTTTTTTTTAATTTACGTTATCAAATAAAATAGAGGCAATATATGAAAGGTCGCTAGTAAGCGTAAAAGTTGAACCCCGCTCAACTTCTCGTCTGAGCTGAGCACTTTTTATCTTGCCTCTATTTCATTTACGTGATTAAAATTTGCGTACGTTAACGTGCGTTGAAAAACGCGTCAGTGAAAATCAACCCTTAGTTAAAAGCTTTCTAAAGTGATTCCTGGGTACTGTGTAGAATACGGTAATACACTCATGATCAACAGAGTCCCAACGGCAGTCAACAATCGAGATCTTAAAGCGTTAATATGATGCATAAAACCGCACTGGAAATGGTTGGAATGGATGAAATAACTTCCTGTTTTTCTCAGAGGAGTCGATTTACGCATCAGTGAAAATGTCTCGGTTTGTTGGGGAGTTAGTATAAAATAATTGTTTCAGGTGTTTTATGATAAATCAGGGGCACCCAAAGACTATTTGTGGGGAAAAAAATTTGTCCGAAGAAGCAATTATTGCCTAGAGTTTTCTACAGCTTGAGGACTGCTAAAAATTGCTAAATCGTCGGCGTTCCATTCAATACGATTTTTGAAAATTACCTGCGCCCTTTTGTGAAGTTTGATTTTTCACTTTCTACTTCCCAGGTTAAGTTATACTTCGAAGAAAAAGGAAACCTAAAATTTTCGGATTCACACATTTGATGGAGAGAGGAATAAGAAAAATGCTAAAATGCTTACGGGTACAGTGAAACACGAGCGAGGGAGTCGATGAGGTCTTTACCGCCGTTTTACACGATTTGTGTAAGTGAGATAGTACCTTAAAAACTCACTTGTTTTTAACTCATGGGGACGCGCGAGCGTACCACGAGTTATAGCGGGGACAGGGATATGCAAATGAGTCACTCACTCCTCGTAGTAGACGCACTTCGTAATTAATCGGATGCGAACTCGAGACTGCGAAGATCTGTCGTTTCCGAATAAGCACGCACTCGCCGAAGTTTGGTGGGATCAGTTTCTTCGCTGAGAGCTTGTATGTTCGCAACTCAGACTCAGAGTTTTCTTTGTGACAAATTTTCTACGGCACGGTTAGAGGTCTTAGCAAATTTAAGACTCACAGGAGTCTTTCAGATAAGTACGATGGTTAACTTGGGGATTGGATTTCAAGAGCCTTCGAAGCGCCGGTTAACACGTCCAAGTGTTAAACTTGACGTAGAAGATGAGCATTTGCTCTTCGACTCCGCAAGATCACGGGGGATACATGTATACAAATTCCAGCTTGTAGGAAAGTGATCTTAAAGTGAGAAAATGTCATGCCATGCTATTCTTAAGAACCTGTATGAGCCGAAAATGGATGTAATTTGGACCATTAGCTTCAAAATAACAGCGGAAATCGAGATAAGAAAACATATGATTTACAAACCACTTCGCAGACGAGATGTTTCGGCTTTGTAAAGCATATATTCTTTCATTCATTCATTCCCATGAAATGCATTTAAATTGTTTTTTGTTACTGTCAATAGCTCGGTTAATGTTAATGCCGTTTGCCGGCGGAAGTTCCATGGAAAAGGCATTTAATTAAAAACGTTTCACCCATATTATGTAATCAGCCTTAGTGGTGTTCTTTTTTTTTCCGTTTCCGATTTGTTTTGTTTACTTAATTGTTTTGTTGTTTTTCGATAAATATATACCTAAATAACTGTTATCTACGTAATCAGTAAAGTGCAATAAACAGCAACAGAAGTGTCGAGTTTTCACAGAAAAGATCGTATATTAAATATATGGATAAACAATATGAATTTTTATCATTTCCTACAATTTACTGTGGGAAAACCAGACTTGATAACCCTTTGATCATTCACTAAACAACGT